ATCGATAAAGATATTGAACAAGACCGGCCCCAAAACTGAGCCCTGGGGAACACCGCTCGTGACCGGCCGCCAACTGGATTTAACTCCATTCACCACAATATTCGTTGGGATGGAGATCTCTCGAGCTTGGAGGACGTGATCCAAGCTTTCGTGGCCCTGTCCCCCTTCCCTCCAGGGCCTTATCTCATAGGACTTTTCCCAACAGATCTTTGAAGAGGCCAAAGTCTGCTCTCCTGAAATCCAGGGTTGCTTTTCCCCCTCCTCCCTGCCCTCAGGATCCTCAACTCCACCATCTCATGGTCACTGCAGCTATGGCTGCCTTTAACCTTCACATCCCCAACAAGCCCCTCCTTGTTGGTGAAGATGAGGTCCAGCAGAGCACCTCTCCTTGTTGTCTCCTCTGTCACTTGGAGGAAGAAGTTGTCATCAGTGCACTCCAGGAACCTCCGAGATTGCTTATGTCTTTACTGTTTTGTCCCTCCAGCAGGTATTGGGGTGGTTGAAGTACTCCATGAGGACCAGGGCCTGCAAACTTGAGGCTGCTCCTATCTGTCTGTAGAGGGCATGATCCACTTGTTCTTCCTGGTTAGGTCAGACACCCACCATGCCTGTCACCTTTACCTGTCCTCTCTTTAATCCTAACCCATAAGCTCTCAGTCAGCTCCTAATCCATCCCCAGGCAGAGCTCCATGCACTCCAGCTGCTCTCTCACTAAAGGGCAACTCCCCCTCCTCATCTGTCCAGTGTGTCCTGCCTAAAGAGCCTGTATCGCTCCATTGCAACAGTCCAGTCATGGGAGCCATCCCACCACTTCTCCGTGATCCCAACAAGATCGTAGCCCTGCATGCACACAGATCTCTAACTCCTCATGTTTATTCCCCAGGCTGTGTGCACTAGTGTACAGGCATTTTAGAGAGGCCTGCTTGCCTGCTAAGTTCTCAGAGAGGGTTTGGGGGATTTCTCCATAATGGTGTCTTGTAGGCACTTCCTTGCTTACGTGCAGGTGCTGGAGGTGACCCCTGCTTTAGCCCCTTTTGTTGATGTGGTGATCCCTTCCCGTCACATCACCCCCTGCCCTTTGATCAGTGATCGTCTGTCGCTCCCTCACAGGACTGCTGGTTGCTTTCTTCCTCCCCATCATTCTCAGATTAAAGCCTCCTTATGGGGGCAGCCATCCTGTTGCTGAAAACAGCTTTGCCCCACTTAGTGAGGTGGATCCTCTCTCCCAGCAGACACTGACCTCCAAACAGGGTCCCATGGTCACAGAACCCAAAACCCTGTCACCAACAGCAGTTTTGCAGCCAGTTACTGGTTTGCTGTATTAGTGCCCTGCTCCTCACACCCTTGCCCCTCACCAGTGGGACTGAGGAGAACACCACCTGGGCCCCCATGCCCTTGACTACTGCCCCCAGTAGGCAAGTCCTCCTCTTTCTTGTCCTTCTCCTCCTCTTCTTCCTCCTACTGTTCCTCCTTTTCTGCCTCTTCCTCCTGCTCTTCCTCCTCCTCTCCATCTGCCTCCTCTGCCTTCTCCTCCTCCTCCTCTTTTTCCTGTTCCTGTTCATGTCCCTTGTCCTCCTGTTCCTCCTTGTCCTCCTCGTCCTCCTCGTCCTCCTCCCATTCCTCCTCCTCCTTCTGGCCTTCGTCCTCTTTGTCCTCTTGTTGTTCTGTTCTTCCTCCTCTTCCTCCTTTTCCTCTCCTCCTCTTGTTGCTCCTATTCCTCCTTCATGTTCATCCTCCTTCACTTCGTCTTCCTTTTCCATCTCCTTCTCATTTTCCTACTGCTCCTCCTTTTCATGTTCCTGTTCTTCTTGTCATCTTTCTCCTTTTAATTCTCCTCTTCCACCTCCTCCTCCTCCTCTTCTTCCTTCTCTTCATCTTCTTCCTCTTTTCTCCTTCTGTTCCTCCTCTTGTTCCTCCTTCTCTTGTTATTCTTTCTCCTCCTCATCCACCTTCTCCTCCTCTTCCTTCTTCTCTTCCTCCTTCTGTTCCCCCTCTTTCTTCTTCTCCTGTTTCTCTTTTTCCACTTTTTCCTTGACTACTTCCTCCTCCTCTTTCTCCTTTTCCTCCTCCTTTTCCACCTTCTGCTGTTCAACCTTCCCCTTCTCATTCTTTTTCGTTCTTATGTTCCTCATCCTATTTCTTCTCCTCCTGTTATTCCCCCTCTTTTCTCTCCTTTCTTCTTTTCCACCTCGTTCTCCTCCTCCTTCTCCTCCTTTTCCTACTGTTTTTACTGTTCTCTTCCTGTTACTTCTGTTCTTCAGCTGCCTTTTCTTTCTCCTCCTCCTTCTTCTGCTCCTGTTTCTCCTCCTCTTCGTCTGTTCTTTCCTCATTCTATTCATGCTCCTTTTTTTCTGGCTATTCCTTCTCCTGCTCTTCTTCTACCTCATATTCATCCTGTCCCTCTTGTTCCTCTTTGACTAGTTGTCCTTGTCCTCTTCCTCCTCCTCTTCCTCCTCTTGTTTCTTCCTACTCCTATTCTATATTTTCCTTCTGTTCCACCTCCTACTCATCCTCCTCCTCTTTCTCGTCCTCCTCCTCTTTCTTTCCTGTTCTTCCTATTTTTCATCCTCCTCCTCTTCCTCTTCCTGTCTTTCTTTTTCCTGTTTTTCTTACTCCTCCTTTTCTTTATTCTCATCCTCCTTCTTTCCTTTTATCCTCCTTCTCCTCCTTCTCTTCCTCTGCCTTTTCCTCCCGTTTGTCCTACTGTTCCTTTTCTTCTTCCTCTTCTTCTTCCTCCTCCTCATCCAAGGAACCTTTTTTCTGAAGCATCCTTGCACAGACGGGAAATCTCTGCCTCTCCCCTGCCAAGCCTACAGCTCCAGGCTCACTCTAGGCTTTTGTCCTAACTCTCCAACTACTTGTCCTGAATCTCAAAACCCTTTTTTCTGCTCTTGATGAATTGCTGAGCACATGCATGTGTAGAAGTCTTGGAGCTGTGCAAGTTAGCATGAGCAGGCCTAAAGCACACCACTTTGCACCACTCTAGGCACTGGTATTCTGCATTCAGAGGAAACAAAGCTACTGCTGCTTCTTTCACCAATTTACAGAAATTTGAATATGAAATTTAAAAAAAAAAAAAAGCATGGTCCTGTAAACACTTTCAAATTGTGCGAGAGCATTATTTGTGTGGGTAAAAGTCTGCTGCCTTGCACCTTTGCTTCCTAACCCCAGTTCGTTTGAGTGAAGAGGGCCAGGAGGGAAAGATGTCTCATTTTCATCAGCTCCAATTTTTCTGTCTTAGTTTTTCTTGCCAGTGTAACAGAAAGAGCACATAAAGGGTAACTAGCTTGGGCTTGCCTCACACCTCACACACATTTGCCTTGTGCACCCTGCATGGGGTAACTAGCTTGGGCTTGCCTCACACCTGGATGGGTCATTTGCCTTGTGCACCCTGCATACTGCTTTTCCTGTAAGTGGGGGAGATAGGAGGAGGATTGCCACCACGTAGGTTCTGGCTTTTAATAAAGAACAGCCCGACATAATTTCGCTGCTGTAGAAAGTACTTCAAGCCTTGTGATGAAACTTCCATCACACCCAATGGAGCTCATCATTGATGCTAAACTATGTCAAGGAAGCTCTGAAACTTCCCACAGGATGAGTCCCAGTACTTCACCTGTCTCAGCCGCAGCAGTCAAATGGGATGAGGATGACCTTGTCTGCTGCTGCCGCTCTCAGTCACAGAGCGCGGAGAGTAGTGAGGGCAGGCAGAAATCTGGCAAGACAGGTTGTGGTGTCAGCTTCCAGGTGGCCTTGGGGAGGGCATGAGATTGTCATAGAAGCACACTATAACATCATAGAGGCTTTGGGAGCCTGGGTGATGTAATCTGTGCTATTGCATCACCTGGCTGATCTGGAGCTGGGGACGTCCAGCAGGGACAATATTGGCACCTGAGGGGAAGAAGATGTAGAATGGAGAGTGGAGATTGCACCTCTAACTTAAAGGATTTTCTTTTCTTGAAGGTTTTCCATAGCTGTACATATGTGGCTTGAATGAGAGCCTTGCTTCCTCCTGTTCCTTCACAGTGATGAGACAACCTCCCCCCTCCACCCCTCATACAACTAATACACTTGAATCATCCAGAACTTGGAAAATTGTCCATTTGTTTCTAAGCAAACAATTTTTTACCTTCTTCTGGAATATTTGGAGAGCTTTGAGAAGTTTAGACCTTAGCTCACGTGAGCATTTTATGTGGCTTGAATGAGAGCCTTGCTTCCTCCTGTTCCTTCACAGTGATGAGACAACCTCCCCCCTCCACCCCTCATACAACTAATACACTTGAATCATCCAGAACTTGGAAAATTGTCCATTTGTTTCTAAGCAAACAATTTTTTACCTTCTTCTGGAATATTTGGAGAGCTTTGAGAAGTTTAGACCTTGCTCACGTGACTTGGAAAATTGTCCATTTGTTTCTAAGCAAACAATTTTTTACCTTCTTCTGGAATATTTGGAGAGCTTTGAGAAGTTTAGACCTTAGCTCACGTGAGCATTTTATTCCTGCTGTTGTCTACCCTGGAGGTGGTCAACCTTCCTAGCTATGAAGTTGCCAATTGTAATACTCCTAGAAGTATTTCTGACTCCTTCACCAGAAGTCAAAAGCCACGTCCTGTATGCAGTGGTGGAGGAGCTCTGGACAGTCATTTGGGGTGGGAGGCAATAGCAGCTTCCACAAGGTCCTGGTGTTCCTGATAGAACAACGCTAATTCTTAATTCTTTCCACTTCCTAGCTATCAACAGTAGTTGTCCTGATGATGTAAAGTGATGCTTGTCAGTATTGATTTGTCTTTCTCTGTGAGAGTAGCTGTGTTTCCCTGGTTTCCCTGTATGTCCTGCCTTTCAGGGGACCATGTAACAAACCTGTAACGAAGAATTCAATTTCCAAGGATTTCAGATGGTTTTGTCCCTGTCCAGGACACCTCACTCCATGGAGACAGACTGTTGGCTTCTTTGGGATTTTTGATGTTGCTCAATGAACCATTTTGGAAATCCCATGCAGCTTCTAATGCTGAGGACTGAGCTGCCTTCTTCCAGTTCTTCCAGCCTTTCTATTGCAGCAGAAAGCTGAAAGAGAGTTTCCAGGACTTGAGTTTGGAGTGGCCCCTTTAGCATTGGGAAGGGTGCTACCCTGTACTATGTTCTGGAGCTGTGCTCCAGCGAGAGATTTGTCTCCCTGCTGCGTTTGGAAGCATTGGCAAGCATTCCTTTCTTTTAATGTGGGCAGCCGCTCATGGTCAGACACTTGCCTGGCTGTCCAGAGCTGCCATTCTCTGTCTTGGGTTTGTTGTGCTGTAGAGCTGTCCTCTTACATCGCGCTGTCTTCTCTGTGCTTGCAAGCCTGACACGCAGTGTATGGATTAATGAAAACACAAACTCTCTTATGCAAGTAAACATCGCTCAAGTAGTGTAGGCATGTGTCAGCCATGAAAACTTCTGTGAAGTTGGGGTAGGGGGCTTTTTGGGCAGGTCTGTGCTTGTTTTCCAGTCTAAAAAGGTCTTTTCTGCATCCAGGAGGTTTACTATACATCGTTCCTTAAATGTGCTGACAGTGTGCTTGAAAAGATTTGAAGGTTTCTCTGGCAGGAACATCAGCAAAGTATGTATACAACTGCAGTGCCCCTTTGTCTCCTTGGAAGGGGACATTTCACGAAGCAGAATACTCTTCTGGAAGTTGTTAATGTCTGCAGACAATAACTATTGAGTGCAGACGTCTACGAATAATCAATGCAATTGCTGTGCCTTCTCTTCCTGTTGTGGTAGGAGGAAAGTTCCAGTGGAAAGATAAGCATGTACTGTGCTCATAAAGAGCTGATTTTGCTGAGAACAGTTTTCTGCCACTTCAGTGTAGAAATGGCAAAACCAATTTCTGGTGAAACGAAAAGATCTATTTCTATAGCTGTAGCCTATGTTTGCCAAAGGGGTTTTCTCAGGCTGTTTCCTAAAGTACATCAGGACAATTTCTGATCCTTCTCAATCTCTCTTTAGGTTGTGCAATATGCGGAATAGGTGGACCTTGGCGCACACATCTCAAGCAGCTGGAGAACCACTGCTGAATTCCTTGTGTGCTGTCCTGGTACATGACTGTTTCAGGTTTCAGGTGTCAGGAAGGACACTATTACTGCTTCGTAAAGGTAAATGTCAACTTGGTTTCCAGCAGTGTGAAAATTGGTGCTGGTGAAGAGAATCTTTGATGCGAATGTTCCTGGTAAGCCCTGATTTTGGGGAGAAGGTCTCTGGAGATTTGTGTTGTTCTTCTTCAGTGGTTACCTGTTGGTGTTTTTGTTCAGAAACCCTGCAGTTCATCTAAAGGCATCATTGCCTTTCTTTGCAGGCCAGTGATGGATGTTGGTACAAGATGAATGATGCCTCTCTAATTCTGTGTGACGTCGAAACCGTTCTCTGTCAGCAAGCATATTTACTCTTCTATGCCAGGTAATAACAAGGATTAAATGGTGTTTAGAATACAGTCCTCCCTCCCACCCTATTCCTTTTATTGCTGTTGTTGTTGTTCTCCTCTGTGGTGTTTTGCTTTCTGTCCTAGGAGAAAATGACTGTTTGCCTAATTGAATTCTGTCTGTTCTGCAATTTGCCAGGTCCTTGCTTCTCTCTCCTTGCTTGGAGAAGGTGAAGATGAAAGAGAGAACAGATCAGTAGAGTTACGATGCTTCACCTGAACTGATGTCACATCTCCTGGCACGGTGGCTCTGGGTGAGAGTACTCCCAGGGTGTTTGGGTGTTTTCTAACCTTTTCCAGTGCTCACGACC